AAACCTGGAAGATATTATACTAAATGAAAGAAGCCAGACACAAAAAGGTCACATACTTTATGACTGCATTCATATGAATTATCTGAATAGGTAAATCCATAGAGACAGAAAGCAGATTAGTAATTGCCAGGGACTGATTGAGAATAACTGTTTTTGGGGTGATGGAAACATTTTGGAATCAGAAGTGATGGCTGCAAAACATTGTTAATGTACTCAATACTACTGAACTACATACTTTAAAATGGTTAATTTTATGTTATATAAATTTTACCTCATAAAAAAAATTTTTAAGAGTCTTACATCAAATCCTCACAATCATCTTTTATCTTTTTACTGCCAACACTTTCCATTCCCATTATGATCACTCTTCTTCAGGCCTATTATGTAGTACCAAAGATTTCCTGACCCTGCTAAACTAGCTTCCTTATTAACTCAAATTTCTCCCTCAGTCAACCCATCATCCAGTCTAATCTTCCTATAAATAATGCTGCACTCACATGACATCACTGCTCAAAGGCCAACAGTGGCTATCACACATAGCAGATTCTCAATAAATGTTAAATTGAGTAAAACTGAATAAATGATGTGAGGAAAACACACAAAAAATTTTTTTACCTGAAAATATAGACTAATTTCAAATGATTTTTTTTTTAATTCAGAATTTGCACAGTTCTGTGTATGAAAGCAAAAGATCAGTAAGATCTAGAATGATCCTCTATGGAAGTTTGTTTAAACACATTACATCTAAGACTAATTATACACTGTCAAACAAAGAACAGCCTGGCATGGGGGCTCATACCCATAATCCCAGCACTTTGAGAGGCTTTGGCAGGCAGACCACTTGAGGCCAGGAGTTCAAGACCAGCCTGGCCAACATGACAAAACCCCATCTCTACTAAAAATACAAAAATTAGCCAGGCATGGTGGCACACACCTGTAATTCCAGCTACTCGGGTGGCTGTGGCATGAGAATCATTTGAACCCAGTAGGTGGAGGTTGCAGTGAGCAGAGATCGTACCGAGTTTTGGGGAACACGAACATTCAGGTCATAGCACTTCCTGACCTCACAGTTCAGCACAATCCTCCTAGGCTCGACTAGTCCTTTTTGCATCAAACTCTTCTAATCCATTGCCTATCTCACTCCAATTCTCTACTCTTTAGCAATAAAGGATCCACTATGAAAACTTTAATAGGAGATACAAATTTAAATTTTAGTTCTGCTACTGGTTGTATGATCTTGGTCAAGTTATTTAATCTTTTTTTAAACTCCAATTTCTAACAGAAAACCAAATGCTTCCCCTGTGAGGAGGAAGGGTGGGCAAAGGAGAGGAGAAAAGATAATAATTGAGTACTGGACTTAATATCTGGGTGATGAAATAATATGTACAACAGGCAAGGTGTGGCGGCTCACGCCCATCATCTCAGCACTTTGGGAGGCTGAGGTGGATGGGTCACCTGAAGTCAGGAGATCGAGACCCGTCTGGCCAAATGGTGAAATCCCATCTCTACTAAAAATACAAAAATTAGCCGGGTATGGTGGTGGGCACCTGTAATCCCAGCTACTCAGGAAGCTGAGGCAGAAGAATCACTTGTACCTGGGAGGTGGAGGTTGCAGTGAGCTGAGATCACTGCACTCCTGCCTAGGCAACAGAGTGAGACTCAGTCTCAGAAAAAAAAAAAAAAAAAAAAAGAAAGAAATAATATGAACAACAAACCCCCATGACACATATTTACCCATGTAGCAAACCTTCACATATACCCCCAAACCTAAAATAAAAGTTTAAAAGAAAACTCCAGTCTCCTTGTTTATACAATGGTGTTATGTAAAAAAAATAAATTCATAAAATGCTTGTAAATAATTTTTGAAAGTCTATGTGTAAAGCACTTACAGTACATAGCAGGCACTCAACCAATGGTGGTTACTACTTTCCTACCTTCTAGTGCTTCTGGTGTTTAATTTTTAAAATTTGACTCAAACATGGCCAGGGGTGGTGGCTCGCAGCAGTTTGGGAGGCTGAGGCAGGCAGATCACTTGAAGCCAGGAGTTCAAGACTAGCCTAGCCAATATGGCGAAAGTACTAAAAGTTCAAAAACTTAGCCAGGCGTGGTGGCATGCAGGTCCCAGCTGCTTGGGTCCTACAGCACTGTTTCTTAACCAAAACAATGCATTACAAACTCCAAAAGGATTTTTAAGAACTTGGTTAAGCACTGTGAACAGTCCCTCTTCATATGACAGCTGTACTCCCTGAGGCAAGTCTTTGTATCTGTAACTATGCCTTATGTAACCTGGTTTCCAAATCCTCAATATACTGGATGCCAGTATTTGGAAGCATCTAAGTTTCTCAATACCATTGTTGAAGAATATCTATCAAAAGTGGATTAATCACATCATGTTTTATTTGACCAACACACACATAAGGGAGCTATTGCATTCCTCCACCCGAGCACCTCTCAGATTTGAATCAATATCATCATGGACTGTGCTGACTAGAAGTAGGACTTCTAGTTCATACATTACCACAGCAGCTCTAAGTTTTTTATTCATGTAAGCTGCTGCCAGGCTAGGTGCTCACTAATCTATACAATTCCTTTTAAAATTTTAATGTAGAGTTTTACAATACTGTCTGTTCCTATTCATCTTGTTCATGTCTATCTTGATGTTAGTGCTTCCTATATTCCTTAGTTTAAGCATGTCATTTTTCCTTCATCTGTATCACTGAGTAAGTGTTGAGATGGGGCCAAAGAAAGTTTTCCTGCTTCTTCTATTTCCTTAGTGAACTACAATTCTGTTCTCGTGTTTCTACTTCAAAACCAATTTCTCCCTCATTGCTTTCCCTCAATTCCTATGACACACTAAAGACTTCTTAGTTGTTTACCAGGACTGTAAGACTTGAGAGTTAGAAGGGACTTCCCAGGATCATTTAGTCTTGCCTAACTCTCTCCTTTACAAGAAACAGGAAATCAGAAAAGTTCAGTTATTTTTCGCAGGCCACATGGCTGGGAGCAGAACTAAGAAATACTAAATATATGGTATTCTTTCCATTACAGTTTTTTATTTAAATTTTCATATTTTCATCGGCTCATTTCATCTACATGAAATAAATTATTTTTTATTCTGTGTTATTTAAAACATTGTGCAATTTTTGTTTTCAAAAATATTCTGGCTACCATACAAAGAGCACGTAATGCTCTGTTTCTTCTACTTTGTAAGCTCATTCAGGGAGGAAGTAGATGGAAGTAGATCAATAGCCTGTCTCTACTCTGACAAACTGCCTGGCAAAATAAATAAAAAAATTGGCGTTGCTGCAGGGCAAAGGAACATTTTGGTTGCAATTTCAAATCCTGTTTCTCGGTCTGCAAATGCATTAACTATCAACTTCCTAGGACTCAGTAGAAAGAATAATTTTGCCATTGTATCGATGATATATATTGAATGTATCAATGACACAATGAATTTTTTTTTTTTTTTTTTTTTTTGAAATTGAGTCTTGCTCTGTCACCCAGGCTGAAGTGCAGTGGCACAATCTTGGCTCAATGTAGCCTCCATGTCCAGGTTCAAGTGATTCTCCTGCCTCAGCCTCCAAAGCAGCTGAGATTACAGGTGCCTGCCACCATGCCCAGGTAACTTTTGCATTTTTAGTAGAGACAGTGTTTTACCATGTTGACCAGGCTGGTCTCAAACACCTGACCTGAAGTGATCCACCTACCTCGGCTTCCCAAAGTGCTGGGATTACAGGCATGAGCAGCCACTCGTGGCCACAATGGATTCTTTTATATTATTTCTGGTTGATTTATGGTCAACATGGCTTATGACTAAACCTAGATATGAAATCCACTGTGTTTTTAATAAATAACAATCATCATACACCTTTCCACCAGAATGTAGGATCTGCAAGAGTTAGCATTAGTTTTTCACCCTATGATTTCTGCCTGGCTTGGAGAAGGCTCTCAATAAGAATGTGTCGATGAACAAATGAATGAGCAAATAAGTAAGTTTTTCAAAGGTAAAACTCACCCAAAAAATGAAAATGCAAAGATCTGAAATTTTAGTAACTCACCAAAAAGTAAACGGAAGAGACATATTCCAGAAGGACACACTAAAGCTAACAAATGAGTCTTCATATTACAATTACAATATTCTTTTTCAACAAGTGCTTACTCCTTTTCTCCTTTGCCCTTTTCTCTGGAATCTCTCATCAGGTTACTCTTTGTTTCCTTAGGCTTGTTTTGCATAAGAGACTTCTATAATAATTCTTCTGTTCATTTTTGTAGAAACACCAAGCAAATGTTCAAGAAATTCAAATCAAGTTCACTATGATAAGATCATAAGGAGGCCACCGGCAGAACCAAAAGAATTAGGCTCTTGTAAATTATTATTAGTACTACTTCATGACCCAAACTCAGTAACAGTCAAGAATTCACTATATTCCTCTTTGTCGTACAGCTGTTCTCATAACTCGTATCAAAATATCAACCCTCACATTCATCAAAACATCAATTTCTAGCAATACTATATTGATTAACTAAAAACATTCTCTTTACTAGTGTTTTTATTAAAGATTATCTTTACACTGTTCCTCTAAAAAAAAAGTTAATAGTCGTAAAAAAAAATGTTAATTCAAAAGTTGAGGATGAAGAAATCTGTTCATCTAATCCCTTTTTCTAATGTTTTTAATATGTTTACAATTTATTTAATTCACTTCAAATGTCTGTGCCAAGTTGAAAGTTACTAAATTAGAACTGCATCAAGCCCAAACCATTTATATTCTTTCTCTACTTGTTAAACATTCATGTTAAGCATTTTAAATTATTTTACTTACCAAGTCAAAACTACAATTTTTGGATGTATCACCAATCATTTGGTTTGTATTACATAAACATAATGTACTAGCTTACATAAACCCACCAAATAGTTTTCCTTTAAATTTACAAAAGCAGAAAATCGAATTCACAACTGTAAGAAAACAATGGATTTAACAATAATAAACAGATTAACTTACTGAAAAAATCTTTAAAGACATTTAACCAATCCATTTTGAAGAAAAATTCCGTGTTCTCTTTTGTCAGTTTGTTAGACACAGCTCAGGATAATTCTCAGTGAGCTTCCTGGTCTGTTCTGCAACACTGAAACTTCCCACACCCAATCCATGTGACCTGGCCCACACCCAGGCAATAGAAAGTTTTTCTGAGGCTTCTCTCTTTCCAAAACTTGTTTTCCTCTAAATTATAACACAGCCTGTATAACAAGTAAATAATGATGGCCAAAAATATGACTTTATTATTTAAACTTATTTTGGAAGAAACTTTAAAGCATATACGCTTTTTAGTACTAAAATACATTCACGCATTAATCCTTTTGTTTTCTTCTTTTCCTTCTCAACTTTCAAACAATGTCTCCACCAGCACAACCATTGTGAAACAAATCCATTAATTACACTGGACATTTAACTTACCAAACGGTGCAGAAATTACAAGAAAAGAAAAAGGCTATCTAATGCAAACGCTGGACTTACATCTCTTTACAGGCTAACTACAGATCACTAACTCAAAACAACGTTTCCAAGCACCTTGGAATATTGGTAGCAATAACTGTAATATAGTAATAAAGTTAACAGAGATTTCCTAAGACTTAAATAGATAAAAACCTTGATAAAACTGTCTCAGTAACATGAGAATGTAGTATAGAAGGCATCCCTGGAGTATTAGCAAATAATAAAAATTATGTCTAAATGGGCTTTTAGGTTTATATATGTAATATCTAATACTGGGATGTTTCCCCCTTTTACTCTATGATATTACTTTTTTCACTATATTTTGTTAATTACTGTCACATTCACTCTAGTCCCAAGATACCAGTGTCCTTTTAAAATGGAACAAAAAAGTCTGAGTATATTCTAGTACCCTGTGCACTTATCACTATGAGGCATAGTTTCTTGACAGAAATTACCTTAATTTCCCCCAATATCTCTAATCAACATGCTTTAAATAAATGTCCAGTATTTACAAAACCAGAAGTATTCCTGGTTTTAACCCCGGTCTCTTCTGCTACTGAAGGAAAATCTCTGATTTGTCTTCCACTGAAAAACTAAAAATAATGGTCTTTATGGCAAAACCTGAAAAGTACTAAAAAAGTTACCTCAGCAGTTAAATATGACCATGACTATATCTACTTAATTACCTTTAGAACACTGGAAATACTTTTTTATCTCAGAAACTGATAATCCATTACTTTATATCTTACTCCAAATTGTACTATATTTTAGTTTTTGCAGTTTTACAATGGTTAAAAACTTTAAATATTTGTCTTTTATTGATGGTAATTAGAAGAACATTCTAGAATAACAATAATGTTGAATAAAAATAAAAACTAAGCTGGGCATGGTAGTGAGCATCTGTAGACCCAGCTACTCGGGAGGCTGAGGTGGGAGGGTTGCTTGAGCCTAGGGGTTCAAGTTTGGCCTGGACAACACAGCAAGACTCCATCTCTACAAAAACCATAAAAAATAAATAAATAAAAACTAATGTAAAGTAGTGAGTCAATAGTATTTCGTATTTGTCAATTAGGCTATATTGTTCCCAAACTGTCTTTGCAAGGAGAAATTGTACTTTTCTTCTACATACAAACAAAGAACCATTACGCAAACAGCATGTTTGTCTGAACACCAAAAATGAAATTCTGTCCCTCCCAATTCCTTCCTGTCAGCTATGGAGAGTTTAATTTTTGTTTTCTTTTTTAAAGAGAAGAGGCCATTCCTCGCCCATGCATATTTCCTTCCTATTAGCTTAGCCAAGTCCAATGTAGAGCCAAGTGGGCTCTACTGTCTCAGGCCCTAATGGAGGGCCGGCAAAAATAAAAAACAAAAACTTTATATTTAGAGAAATAAAGAAAGCGAAAAAGAGAAACAAAATATAAAGGAGCTCTGTAGGTGCTAATGTACAGTAATGATCCACAGTTCTCTTATCAAATAGAGAAATAAAATGGTGGATTTTAAGTGAAGTTCAAAACATAAGGTCATTAGATGTTAAAATTCATTATGTGCCATGTAAATAAGTTGCCTTGGTGCCAAAGAGGCAGTTCTGCCTATAAGTCTAAACTCCAACAGTCATTCATGGTTCAAAGAGCCCCTGCTAGAAGATCATAGTTAGTTCTACTTATTAGCACCACTTTGGCCTGACTTTGAGCGTGGGCCTAGATTTACAGAGACTGCATGTTAACACTTATGACCTTCATTTGTCTTTTGGGTTGAATACCTGCTATGAGTCAAACTTACCTAGCCCTTGCCTTTTCAAGTCAATTATGTACACTGCTGCCAGAATTATGTACAAAGAACTAAACTCCAGGATTCATTTAAAACAAAGCAGTTTTGTTTTTGTTTGTTTTTTTCAAATAAGAAATACCTTAGCCGGGCACAGTGGCTCATGACTGTAATCCTAGCACTTTGGGAGGCCGAGGCAGGTGGATCACAAGGTCAGGAGTTCAAGACCAGCCTGGCCAAGATGGTGAAACGCCGTCTCTATTAAAAATTACAAAAAAATTAGCTGGACGCGGTGGCACATGCCTGTAATCCCAGCTATTCAGGAGGCTGAGGCAGAATTATTTACACCCAGGAGATGAAGGTTGCAGTAAGCCGAGATCATGCCACTGCACTCCAGGCTGGGTGACAGAGCAAGACTCTCTCTCAAAAAAAGAAAAAAAAAAGAAATAGAAATCTCTTACCTAGGGTATCTTTTAGGTTTTTTACAATAGATGCTTTCCGAGCACTGTTTTTCCTTTCCACATAGTTAGAAGGCACAAAACCTGTTTTATTCATGGAATTTCGAACTCGCCACCAGGACTTAGAATCATCCAGAAGCCATAATCTCTCATTCTTCTTGATGTCCAATTCTTGTTCTTGTTGAGCCACATAATCAAATTTGGCTACTACCACCACTTCTTCTGCCATCTTTCAGCAGCTTCGGCACTGTAAACACATGGAAAATATTTTTATGTAAGGTTGAAGTAGTATTAGTCCACATGCTTTCCAAAAGAGACACACCTAAAAATCTAAAGACATAAAGATTAAAAGTAAAAACTATAGAAAAAAAATACATGAGGCAAATACTAATTTAAAGAGACTAGTGTGTCCGGGCGCAGTGGCTCATACCTGTAATCCGACACTTTGGGAGGCCAAGGCAGGCAGATCACTTGAGGTCAGGAGTGCGAGACCAGCCTGGCCAACGTGGTATAATCCCATCTGTACTAAAACAGAAAAAATAGCTGGGCATGGTGGTGCACACCTATAGTCCCAGCTACTCAGGAGGCTTAGGAATCACTTGTACCCGGGAGGCAAAGGTTGAGTGAGCCTAGATCGTGCCACTGCACTCCAGCCTGGGCAACAGAGGGAGACTGTCTCAATCAACCGACCAACCAATCAATCAATAAAGACACTGGTGTTGCTATATTAATATCAAACAAAATTTTAAGAGCAAAAACCATTACTAGCAATAAAGGCGACTATCCAATGAAAAAGGTTCTATTCAATATATATAATATCTAAGCTTATATGTACCTAGATAGTTCCAAAATATGTTGATAAAACCACAAGGAGAAACTGACAAACTCATTACCACAGACGACAATTTTTAACATATTATCACAATAATAAAACAACCAAAGAAATAAAAACATTGGGCACAGTGGTTCACACCTGTAATCTCAGCACTTTGGGAGGCCAAGGTGGATGGATCACCTGAGGACAGGAGTTTGAGTCGTGCCTGGCCAACATGGTGAAACCCATCTCTACTAAAAATACAAAAATCAGCCAGGTGTGGTGGCAGGCGACTATAATCCCAGCTACTCGGGAGGCTGAGGCAAGAGAATCTTGAACCTGGCACGTGGAGATTTCAGTGAGCTGAGATCGTGCCACTGCACTCCAGCCTGGGTGACAGAGCCAGACTCGGTCTCAAAAAAAATAAAATAAAAACATTATTAAGGGTAGAGAAGAAATGATTTCACAACCAGTAAGTCTGATTTAATAGAGATACACAGAGTATTGCTTCCAAACAGAATACAAATGAAACACATACAAAAATTAATCAAATGCCCAGCCATAAAGAATGTCTCAACATTCATGTAACTGGTATCCTATAACCATATTCTCTAACAACCACAACAAAAAGGTAACTTTTTAAATACCAAATATGTTTGAAAACTTCTAAAAACTGATGAATCTAAGAAGAAATCATATAGAATTTTGAAAATACTCAGAAGTAAATGATACTTTAAAAACTATACATCTAACCATGGGGGATGCATCAAGAGGAGTGTATATAGAAAAGGTTTTTAGTTTTAAATAGTAACATTAGCAAATAAAAGAGCTAAAAATAAATTAATGAACTGAGTATCTTAAGCAGTGAGAAAAATTGAAGAAACATTAGAAAACCAAATCCAACTAGAAAACAAGCAAAGAAACATAAAGAGACATTCACTGAAGATTTACAGATGGAAATTAAGCACATGAAAAGGTATTCATCATCATTAGCTATTAAGAAAATGCAAATTAAAACCATATTGAGATGTCACTACACACACCTGTCAGAATGGCTAAGAGTGGTAATACCAAATGATGACAAGGGTAAATTGCAACCAGATCACTCATGCACTGCTGATGAGAATGTAAAATGGTATGGTTACTCTGTAAAATCGTCTTGATAGTTTCTTATAAAACTAAACATGCAACTATCATATAACTCAGCAATTGCACTCCTGGGTATTTATCCTAGATAAGTGAAGACTTATGTTCACATTTTACATGAATGTTAACAGCAATTTTATTTCTAACAGTCAAAAACCGGAAACTACCCAGATGTCCTACAATAGGCAAATAATTAAACAAACTGGTATGTCCACACCAAAAAGGAACAACTGATATACAAAACAACCTGGATGACTCTCCTGGGAATTATGCTCAGTGAAGAAAAGCATAAAACATTATTTTTATGTTTAAAAATAATGATTAACTATATGACTCCATTTATATAACACTCTTGAAATGACAACAAAGTTTAATTAAAATAAAAACTGAAAGAGAAAACACAAATAGTCAAATAGTATTTAAAAGATCCTGAATATCTCTGTAATTAAAGAAATGAACTAAAAGTGAAATATACTTTACCTATCGGGGTGACAAAAATATCACCAATATTATCTAGTGCTCCCCAGAATGTACAAAAATAGCATTCTACTACATTACTGGTATAATAACTGAAAATTCATATAATGCCTTTAAGTTTTTTAATGATGGGACATTTCAACATACATAGAAGTAGAGAACAGTATAATGAATCCTATACCTATCACCCAACTTTATCAATATTATGTCTTGTGGTTCACCTATACCCCTAATTTTTGATGGGGGAACTGGAATCCTATGATTTCATAAAAGTACTAACAGATTGAAAACCCATGCTCCTCAAAAATTAACAAATCAATGGCTCTTGACCTTTTTCCCTTTTTAACCCCATTTATGCCGGAGGCTACAATTATTAGTGTGTGAAAAATCAGACCTTGGTGATGACCTTAAGCAGCAAGATATAAATAACTCCCACAAGCATAGCATTCCAATATTGGAACACCAGGCATAAATAGGGTAACCATGGGCTTCCCCTCCTGCCTTCTGGCAGTGTGGTGAAACATAGAACTTCTACTCAAAATAATGTTTTTGAAGCATAAAAATATATAAGATTGTAAATAAGTCAATTACATTAAAATTCAATTATCAATATATTTTCAAAAGCTCCTTTTGAAAAGGTATTTATTAAGTTTAAGAACTCCTGCAACACTTATTTCATCTAATGCTAATATTCAATTTTTGTTGAGTGTATTTTAAAAAAAAAAATTCTTACAGTTGCTTTGAACTGGGATCCAAACTAAGTCGATATATTGCACTTAAGCCAATATGTTTTAAGTCTCTGCCACCATTCTCTTTCCCCGCTCTATGTCATTTATTTATTTGTTTGTTTAAGAAGTTGGCTTCATTTGTCCTGTAGCATTTCCCACATCGTGAATTTGGCTAATGTGTATTTTTGTGGTGTTCCTCTATTACCACTATCTCCTATAAACTGGTAATTATTTCTAGAGGCTTTATTTTTTCTAGGTTGTTTTGTCATTGCTGCAAGAATACTTCATATATATTCTTAAGTACTTCTTACTGTCATTTATTAGGAGGCACATTATGTCTGCCTGAACCATTTTCTGTGATGTTAAGACTGAATGGCAGATCTGCAGCATTATAAAGTTTTATCCATTATAAAGTTCCATTATAAAGTTTACGATTTATCCATTAAAAAGTTCCCCCACCAAACCTCTACCCAATGGTTTTATCTGCCACTGATGATCACTGCCTAGATAAACTATTTCCAAAATGATGATT